CGTCTGGGAATGTACCAATTCCACGTTCTGACTGGAAATTCGTATCAATATATTATGGACTCCGGACAAGGTGTGTTCCTCTAAGTTTTCCTGCCAATATGACAAAGTTGCGAAAACAAGGTCAAATCGCTACTATGAGTATTCTTATTAACATATTTTGTTTATTATGGATTTATAGATATTTATAACGCTGTAAGCTAACAATCCTATTAATGAGGAATTTTTGATTAACCTGGCTTTATTACGCAATACCTTTTTTATAGAAAGTCTTACCTAGTCATTCTAAACCAGATTATGTAATTCCCTCATATAAGCGTATGGTGTCTATTGAAAATGAAACCAAATTAAGTTATGCATTTATTATTACATTTCAATATATAATCTCACTCATAAGTCATCTATATTCAATAAATAATCTAAACATCCCAACTACTAGATATGCTACCTGACACTAAGCTGCACGGGATTTTGGCTGCTGAATTCACCCCTTCCGATTCCTTAGGCTGGCGGCCGCAATGGCTAACTCGCTACTCCAGCATCTACAAGAACCGGGGAATCGTTCATTCAAAGGGTTATACTATTCGGCTTTCTAGATCTCTACGCAACCCAATCATCAACGCTGCCACAAGTGAGATTATCTAGTCACTCAGTTCGCTGTCCCTTTCTGGAGTTTGTTTTTTTACACGTATGTACGTATGAATTAAACATGCATACATTCTACCGCGAATGGATTCGTACATTTAAATTCCACCGACGGAAAATTCTATACACCCTTCTTCTTTCATGTGATCCTATACATTCTATTTTCACTTGGTATGCGACTTGGGAGTGAAAGAGAAAGTTTCTAGCCCCTAGCTAAGCATTCTTCTTTTATATATTAAAAATGGTCCCTATTTACGAATTTCTATTTCTTCGATTAACACTTATTCATCTTGTTGAGCATTTATTTTGCTATATTCTCCTTTTTATTTTTATTTTTTCCTGTTTACTATATCTAATCTTATGCGTTCAGCCTTACCACGTAGGCGCACGCAAATCTTCGCACACCTTTACACAAGCCTTCGAAATCCAACCTTTTCTTGCTTGGCTTATGCTGACGTTTTGAATCACATTTTATCATCCTGCTTCAGATCGGTTTAAGACTCCCGTTACGGATCAGTAATTGACGAATTTTCAAAAAAACCTTTTCCCTACATTTAAGCGCCATTTTTTATCCAGAACTTCTCTTTGTTAGTCCTTCTGTGTCAGTTTATAGTTTTTTTGCAATATCTGCAAATGGGGCCATCATGTAATCATATGATAATCCATATTTTTGCTATATAACTTAACCGCATAAAGTCTAGAACCTAGTGGGCTTTATTTTGATAATAAATTCGCGAGTACTGTACTGAAATGTCCTCTTACTCAATTATCCACATTTTCATGCCGTTTCGTTTTTTCCTCAATTCCTTTCTTGGCTTTGTAGGTTACATTTCATTTTCCAATTTTGCCTACTCATAGTTCATATCTTTCTTACTGAGCTTTCCCATAAACATTTAAGCTGAATGAGCTTGTTCGGGGACTTTGACTAAACAAGCTTATCAGGGGTGTTATCTATCAAGCTTTACATGTATATTTTAACTGATGTGTTGTTTCATATTTTTCGAAAAACACTTCCTTATAATTGACCACTTTTATTCTCTAATGCCAAGCTTAGTCATTTCGCTTAGGTAGAACGGCTGTAGAAAAGAATCGAGCATAGACTACTTACTCTCCTAAGATGTCAACAAACCTTATATTTTAGTAAATTATATAATCATTTGGGCTATATTACTAGTGAGTGAGATACAATTAGGACGTTTTCAATCCAGAGTACTCGTGCGGGCATATCGATCTTTCTCACATAATATCAGAACGCTTGTGCAATCCTTTTATTCTTGCTAGTTAATTTCTTATCAGGGTTTGTCGGCGATTCTCCCTTTCCATTAAGAGAGAACTACTATTTTGACATCACCGAGTTCTTATCAACCCCCTTAATCGAATTCGAAGCGTGCTGCTATTATGATTGCTCCCTAAAGCTGCACTTAATTCCTTTGAGTTAAGGATTTAAACGAAGTTTATATATTTTCGACGCAAGTATTATTACAAAGACTTTCATTTCTTATGAAAATGCATGAAGAAGAGATTGGTGGGTCGATCTCATCAGAAGATGACTGCTAATTCTTGTCGTACTGCAGCCGGTTAGCCTTAATAAGACATTCAGGTAGACGCAGTCCACGAGACCTACTCCCTCATTTTAGCCGAAAACGGGCTGAGCTTTCGTCCATCATATGATGATGATCGTAGCCGGGATTTATTCTTGTAAAAGTGTCGAGTAAACACTAGGCCAAGACCTACGAATATCTTAATCGTGCACATTTATACTAAATGAAAGTCTATCCAAAAATTTTATCTCAAGGGATAACTAGCCTTGCCTCCAAAAGACGATCTTATATCACTCTAGGAGGGCTTACCTATCAGTCCTTAATTTTACCTTCCTAGGATGACTAAGTAGTTGATTTAGATAGAAAACATCTTTTAGGTGACGCCGAGATTGTATAGCGAGCCGCCTACTTTTAGCCAGTTTCCGTCAGAGACAACTCCAACTTTTTATCGAATGTATGAACTCCAAGATAGTGTGGCCTTCAGTACGGTCGCGGTATACTTTCATTGTATATAAGTTGTTTGACCTTGTTTTTCCAACTTGATCATATTGGCAGGAAGACTTAGACGAAAGCACCTGGTCCGGAGTCCATAGTATGCATGATAATTTCCACCGGAGTACATTCGCAGACGCTTCGCCGGCATCGCCAGTGATCTTTGCCAGTCGATACTTTGACCAGTTGTCTGCTAAACAGTCCTGGGGGATTCACCTTTCCTATATCCTCGTAACACACATTCACTATCACAATTACTTGTTTAAACCTGGTTAAAGTGGACATTTTTGAGCGAATTTAGTAAGACCTTTTCATACTCACTGTTGGTTCCAATACACCCCTCACTGTGCTGGGAGTATTGACCAAAGACTGTAGTTTAATCTGAAATCCTATTCCATAAGTATCTATTAGAGTCTCCCTCTGGCTCCGTAGGATCTGTTTCTTATCTCCCTGGTTCAGTAATTTCATTCGGTCGCTACCACCAAAGCAGTTCTACTTGAGGCTTTATGTTCCACACTTTTCCTCAAGATTTTGATAGCACGTATCCTCCAGCCTCACTCAGCAGGCCCCTAAAGTCTAGATTCTCAAGTAGCTGGAAACCTAACTTGACGCCGCTGATTCTCTTATCACTGTGCCGCAAGTGCACCAAGTATATCTCGTCAAGCCTTTACGCCATAGACAACGTATCTGATAAAATCCATCAAATATTAGCCAACTATCTATGTTCATTGCCGCACCTCGCTCTTTTATCCACAATACCAACCCTATGACTTTCCTATGCCATAATTTCCTGTGAGCTGCATCTGAAATATTATGCCTGTTCAACTTACTTTGATTATGCTCACTAAAAACGCCTCCTCTTGGTTTCCGATTGTTCTTCTGTGGTCTCCTTGCGATTACCTTTTCTCAAATGGGAAATATTTACTTGATCTAGTCGTCTTCTTTTGATGATCTTGCTGTTCTCAGATCTTTTCTGAGTTTGCCTAGGCAATATCCAAAGTTTTTACCTTCTTGCCTTTTTCATGTCTTATGTTCATTAGATTTCTTTCGGTCAGGATATCTATGGCCTCGTATCTTATATTCTTGCCATATCTAACCAGCCTTTCTGTCGATTTCCAGTTGATTTCGTGTCCTTTCTGTACAATGTGTTCCGCTATTTCGGATTTGTCCGTATCCATGTTTCTTTAGTCTTTGGTGTTCTTTGATTCGCATCCTCAGTTTTCTTCCTGTTTTATCGGTATATTTCTTATCAAAGTTGCCACATTTTATGGGATAAACTCACGTTTAATCCAGTTTGTCAATCTTCTCGTTTTGCGTCGGCAGACTGATGAAGTTTTGTCTTTTTATTTGTTATTACCTATCTACTCCTTCTTAATAAAGGTCCCAACTTTTAGCTCAGTTCACAGGAGGGCATTTCCACTTTTGGTTATCTTCCAAATTTTTGATTTTATTTTCATAATACCAAAGTTATTAGCTGCTTCTTATGATCTATATATTTCTTTGTTTGACTTGTCGGAGCCACGAGTTACTATTTGAAATCAGAGTCAATTTTTCCAACTCTTCAGCCCAGAACTCAATGTCCGTTAATCTGAGGCTTCTGATGCTCAAACTTCGCAGTATTCCTATCTTCAGTCTGTAGTTGTCATAAGTCTGAAAATTGGGGATTATTCACGCATCGATTTCTTTCTTAATAATCTCCTCTATTTTGTCCCTTTGGAGCGCATGACCCCAACATCTATAAAAGGTAGTCGTTCATCCTCCTCCACCTCCATTTCGATTCAATTCTTCCATTAAGTTGTCTGATAAATTTGAGTACCCAGCCAAATTATAATGTTACGGTATTGGCAGCATCATCTGCTCCAAATAAAAACGGAAATAAAGTAGTGAACTTATTCTCAGTCTCGCTTGATTTCAAAATGATAGAGCTACCGAGAGAGCGGGTACATTTTTAACTAGGTAACGAAGAAAAGATATTAGAAGATGTTCTTGTATAGGTTATAAAAATCTCAGAGGAATACCCAGAAGAGACCAAACTGGAGATGAAATGGAAATAATTTCAAAAATCCTAGTGAATCAAGAGCCTATAAAGAGGAGCAGATTGACGAATATATGCAGAAAATTACAAAAGAATTAACAAACAGTTCTTCAAGCGGATAAGGTAGAAGCG